TTGGATCAGCGAACTAATGTTGGGTTACTTGATTGGGTGGTCTAGTTTCCAGGTCCGAGTCGGCAAGATCCCCGGCTGATTCAGAAATGAGTTTAATAACAAATATGAGGATGCAATTGTCTTTGCATCTTAATGTTTATCTTGTTAATGCAACTTATAAATAGAATTAATAATAAAATGAATTGAACAGACGTAAGTTGAAAGCAAAAACATGCATCAACATAAATACACCTGTAAATAAATCTGCCTCCTTCTCACCTTTCTAGTCAGCCACTGCAGGGAAAAGTGTTGAGTTAACTTAAAGGATAACAGATGGAGGGGTAGCTCATTTGGCCCAAGATGTTAAAATACAGGTTCTTGATTTTACATCAATCCCAACTACAAAAAAGCTTGAGAACAAAATCAACTAGACTTCAGTTGCTGTGGTTGACATTTTTTTTGACCCTTTGGTTATTCAAGGCCATTAATTGAGAAGCTTTTGCCTGTAAAGCTGTTTGGGAATAACCGCTCTGAATTTTCCTATCGGCCCGACTTTCAGCCTGGTCGAGCGTGGTGTAATGTACAGGGGGTAAAGAGGGGCGATCAGCCTCTCACGACCATGAGGAATTGTGAGGTTGGGACCGACCGTCGTGGGCAAATCGCTCAGTGCGCAAACGCAAACACGGATTCTTCTTCATTCTCTCAGAGGAAAACACAGAAGCATGGTGGGGTGAAATGGAGTTCTTTCTGTAAAATTGACAGACCGTAGTAGCCACGTTTGCTCAGCCATGTCTTTGTCCAAATACATTGTCGCCTTTTCTTTTTAGGGCTTTCAGCACAAAATTGCACAAATTGCCAAGGCAGCGCGTTTCACTCTAGTGAGCTTCAAATTCCTCTTCTACTCATTTGGCTTCCGGATAGACGAGTCAGAGTAGCTCCATCTCACAGCGGTCCGACGTGGTTTTTAGACGTACAGTGTTAGCATGTAGATCGCATCAGAGCATCGTGCTGTACATAAGTCGTACAGTGTGCGCTATAGCTGCGAGCAATGATTGAAAAAATCAAACAGTGTATGCCCGGCTTTAAATGCAGATTGGACTCCCCTAATAACAAGGCTTGCTTGTGGTGAGTGGACCGCCTCAGTGAGAGATGATTGCTGGGAAGGGTTTGGTTAAAGGTGCTAATTGGTTTGAAACTGATAAAATAAGAAGGTCCCTCTGATGAAGAAGGAAAAGTTTTCAACCACAAAATATGAAGTTCAGTTGTTTTGCTTGTTAACGTTTTTGGGATTGGGTTTTTTACTCGAGCCGTGGGAGGGAGAGAAGGGCAGAGGTGGAGCCGGTGTTCTGTCTGTCTGTGCTACCCGACGCTATCTGGACGCGCTACCGTAGGAAAATCTAATATGGGTTTGGGGCGGAGCGGGATGTCAACGCTACCTGGTGTAGGTGTATCTGCTGTTCACTGACATCAAAAGTGATGGAGTCCATCTGCTGTCAGGAGTACTGGGCAGTGTAAAGAGTGGCCAATTCTACAATACCAGTGTTTGTACATTTAGATTGCTGTTCCGAGAGGTGGACGTTTTGGATCAGAATCAGACATACTTTAATAATCCCAGAGGGAAGTTGCAGTTTCAGTATATAGGAATTGGCTATGCTGTCCCTGAAGGTGCTGTAGAACCTCACAGCTGCTCTGCACAGGCCTTCAGGACTCTGGGGCTGAAAGTGTCTGGATGCGGGGACACATTGCAATTCAGTCTCTCCAGATGCCTCCTCACTTGACTTCTAGAGACAGACGGGTGGAAGGAAGAGGGAGCAGCAAATATCTTCTGATTTCATTGAAATCAGAAATGAACTCCTTAGCCATTTCAACATCTTAACTCCACTAAAGCTCCATATCACTCCTTCATAGTCCTCCTCCAGATATTTATATTATTATATTATTCATATTTCTATCCTTTGTCTCTGCTCTAGAAAAATCCCTTATTGTTAAGGCAATAGACTACTATTAATTATAGCAGAGAACAGTTCAATTATCCTGCAATTATCCTGCAAAGCAGTCTTTGTTTACATTTAAGACAAATTTCCTTTCGACAACAAGCCGACCTAATCTTATATCGAAAAATTTTATCTTCCATCAACAGTCTACTGAGATGGCATCACTGCACACCTTCAAATAGTATTATTAAAGAAAAACAAAATAAGCAAAATATAATCAGCCTCCATATAGATTTCCTACTGTATTAGATTTTATAAAGATGCTGCATCTAAATCCATTATGCATCAAGTTCACTGGAAATCATCCCAGAAACCTGATAGTCTCCAACAGACTCAAAGAATTTTTCCCTTTGACAAAATTTAAGGCATTTATCACTTCTCTTAGACGGGGGTTGGGAGAAAGTCAGTATCTCCATTCATTTGTGTTGATGGGGAGAGAAAAGGAGAAAACACATTTTTCACCAGCGTCTTTTTAATGCTGCCTAAGAGCCTTAAATGGGATCCTGCTTCAAACCATGTATGATATTTCTTCAGCTGCACACGGATTAAAGTAAACTATATTTTTCTCTTTTGACAGGCATGGGGTGAAGAGAGACGGTAAAACGCTTTCAGGTTTTACAAGTTAAAAAAAAAAAATCCATTTATTGAGACATCCTTTTAGGAAAAGCTCCATTACTGCTAAATGTCAGACAGCATTTGCTAATGCTATTAGCATTTTTGGGGCTAATTGCATTTGGTTGCATTTAGATTACAGTTTACATCTAGATGCCTCAATTTCCCATGCTGACTAAAAGGCATAAATTAGCACATTTCTTAGAGAATACAGTGGCACATAGAAATTAACATGCATTCATCATTTGTATGAATGACATATCCAGTTGGAGATTTCAGTCCTGAATTAGAAACATTCTTTTTTTCCCCAGGATGAACAAATGATAAAACACAAAATTTTAACTGGTTGCACAACTTTAGACTTCATTTCTAAATACATATATATCTATATATAGTTTCAGTGTGACATATTTATACACCCTCCCACTACAATTTGGCTAAATGTCTATCATAAATGTCCAATTTTTAAAAGAACCATAACGTTTTAGAAGCTTTTAGCAAGGTTTGAGTAATGGCAAGGCTGTTGAACGTATAAACACTTTACCAGACATCAAGCATGGTGACGGCAGCATGATGCTGTGCAACTATTTTGCTGGTGTAGTGCATTAAGTTGGGAAATAATAAAGAAATACCACCTGAACATTCCTCACCTTTGCCCAACATCGACAGGCAAATTTAATTTAATTAAATTTCCCTTTATTTGATCAGGGACAATAACAAAAGGAACATTAGTCTAAGAAAAGAAGAGATGTCATGTGCTAGTTTACAGCAAAAATGCTAATTTCCACCCGCAGGCCCTGCACAGGTTTATGGTATACTTACAAATATTAATATTATAAACAGAATAATACATGTAAACGTCACATCATAAAAGATAGATAAAGCTAAGTGGTCCAAAAGGATAACGACCCAAAATACACATTAGGATAATTTTCATTGATGATGTGTGAGTTCATTACACCCTAATATTACCTGCCGGTTGCGCGTCAGAAGTGATGTTTTACCCAGTAGTTTATCTAATTAGAACAGTTAGTCGGTCCGGCTATATACAGTTATCATCTTCATTCTGTACATGGCAAAGATTTGGGAATGAAATGAGAACGGTGTCCTTCAGCTAAGAACATAGTGCAATATTTTGATAAGGCTGGAGCCATAATAAAGCTGGAGCCGTATAAAAAGCTTCTCTACCAGTTTGTCAGGGCCCGGTTGGTATGCAGCTGCCTTCTGTAACCCTAAACAACTCCTCTGATCTGAGTAAGATTACAATTTCTATCAAAATCTGTAGTCATGTCTCGTGGTTATTTAATATATATACGTTATGAAGTGTTATTTAAAGAGTTAGTCCTGAGTGATCTCTTTTTAGAAAAACAAACCGGAGAGAGAAAGCTTCAATGTGTAGACACAGAGCTTTCTTTTAGCATACATTTCTAAACAAAGCACTGTGGAGAAAATAGTTGAACCTTTGTCTCAAATAAGGAATGTTGTGGGTGTAAATGACCATATAGAGTCATTCTGTGATGAGTTTGCATGTTCTCATGACACGTCTCTCTGGCTTCTCTGGTGTCCCCACAAAGTTTGAAAACACAACTTGAAGTTAACTGGTCTCACTAAATTTTGCTTAGTTATTTATGTTATGGCCGGCAACCAGTCCAAGATACACCCTCTGTTACCTATTGATTGCTGGAGATCGGTACCAGACCATACTTCCTAAGACGCCTGCAAAGATAAGCTGTTATATTATATACTATGTGTAATCTGTATCTATTAGTTGCTATAAAAACTTTTTTTTTCTTTATAGCTTATCAAGGAACATGCAAACAAAAATAAATGGTTAATAAGTTTATTTGAAATGTATGTATAAATGTGGACCTTTGTGGAGAGAAGAAAATCAAAACTGGAGCCTCAAACTAATGATATCACGTGGAAGAAATAAACAGTTCACATGCATAATAAAAACCCTCAGTTTTATAAAACCTACATCCTAACTGTGGATGCAAACCTTTGTCCAGCATCGCTGTCTAAAAGCGATCAGAATGAACATTTTCAGTTCATCTTTGGTGAAAATAAATTTGAGATTCCCTTCACATCTTGAGGAAACAGAAGAGTTTCAGATGAATTTCCCTTAATGAGGCTGTTAAAAATAAGTTTTGTTTTCATCATTTATCATCACGAAGATTCCTTCGCTGAATCTTTTTGTTGCTGATAAATCTGAGCTATTAAGCTTCTGCTTTTCCAAATTTAGCAGAAAACCAAACACAGCTAATATGTCCCACCTGAGGCCGTTTAGTTTTATACGATCAAAGATTATTGGAGAGATGTGTTGGGGTTTTTTCAGCAGACAGATAAATGATGATAAATTCTGAGGGAAACAGGTGTGCTGCTGCTGTTTTGCAGCTCCAATGTGAGCCAGTTTACCTCGACATAAAGAATGGGGAAGATGCCAATCTTGTCTCCCAGCATGCCTTCTGCCCAGTTCTCATCTACTCTTCTGATTACTGTCAGCACCTCGTCCTGGAAAGAAAGGAAATGAGTGATAGCATGCATACATACACACATGCATGCTGCGTACTGAGAGCGAACAGTGTTTGCAGCAACAATAGAAATTTCAGTTGCTTTTGAATCCCTGCAGCAAAGTCATTTGATCTGACTTTTACAAATACTTAAATATATAAGCGTTAATGCAACACACATGAAACCTTTATTGCAAGCTAGGTTAGGTCACGCATTAAAGCAGTGATAAAATAGTTTCATTTCAGATTTATTTTTCCTGTCATATATCTATTTGCATGGACCAATGGATATTTTATGCCAAACTATCTGTTTAGCTGTGACCTGTTTGGGTTCAATTATAAAATCCATTGGTTTTAGCAGTAGCTTATTATCTATATGTGTTAGACCCCTGTCTAAGGCCCAGTGTCCTGCAGCTTTTAGATGTATCTGTGCTTTACACACACCTGAATCCAATAATTAAGCCATCAGCAGGACTGCAGCAAGCTTGTCTGCTTTCCAATTAGGAAAAATCTACTAGCTCCAATTTCTTTACCTTTGGTGGGGTCAACTGTAAAAAACTATCTGGGTTGGAAAGGAACTGGTAAGGGACAGCCTTATGGACTTCATCATAGAATACACATGGATGGCACTAGTCAAAACAACAGCTTTCTAAAAAGAACTTCTTGAAACAAAAGTTATAAAACAGCTGAAGCTCTGCATTATACAGAGGCATACACATTAGATATATATATATATATATATATATATATATATATATATATATATATATATATATATATATATATATATATATATATATATATATATATATATATATATATATATATATATATATATATATATGCCCCAGAGTACATGTCAAAAAATTATATATTTTTGCCAAACTATGTGCCTATACATCCTGTCATGCAAAGGATTGTGGGGGATTGTGGCAGATAAGAACGTTAGTTCTATATACTAAAGAAACTACTGAAAGAAAGCATCCTGCTCCCTCTTCCTTCCCTCTTTCCCTACCACTAGCATTATTTGGACAGCACTTATCATGGCGACCACTGAAGCACTTCTGCTTTGGCTTATTAAGAGTCCTTACAGTTTTTCTGAGTTGGATGGAGACCTTGTCTCCATACTGAAGAGTAAATTGAGCCATTTGATTCAGATGTGCTGAACAGGAGACACATGTTAAAGTTGCAGGACACTCAACTTTAAAATTTGTAGGACATTCGAGGAGTTTTAAAGTATCAAAAAGACAGTTGGGGCAATAAAAAGTGGAAGAAGGAACACAAAGGAGGAAAGGGTGATAAAAAGGTTAAGATTTGGACACTCAGGACTGAATAGCTCACTATTTAAGATGAAAAAACATACTGGAAAATTGGACCGTTGTGAGGAAAATAAAACAATAGAATGTGATATATTAGATCGTCAAAACTATCAAATGGAAGGAAATTATATGAGGAAAGAATTTGAGAAAATCAAGGAAACGTTTAATATAATAGATATATCGCAAAGAAATTTAGGAAGCAGACAGATACATATTTTTTATAAGATTTTTAAAGAGTACGGAATTGTTTAATAGAATTATATTATATTTTGGGTAATTTAAAGATTAAGTCATTCAGAATCATTCACTTCCCACACATGAATCATTGGCGGTAATGTTCAACTAAAGTTTTTTGCCAAATGCAAAAAACACAAGAAGAAGAATAAGAAGAAGAAATTCGAGGACTAGGGTTTGAAAACCCTTGTGTGATATGCAATTAAAATAAAATACTAGAGAAGAACCCTGCACAGTCTAAAAAAGAGGATTTTAGGGCTGCTTAGAGCAACGGTCCTCAACCCCTTTCCTGCAAATCGTGTCTCATTTGCGCAAAACATCTAACTTATATAAAGGGATGATTAACAGGCTCCTGCAGCAGTGGATGGCTGCTGAGGAGCTCATGGAGTCATTTGAAGCAGGTGTTCAGCAACAGAGATACATCTAAAACATACAGAGTAGTGATAGTTGAGGACTAGGATTGAGAACCACTGTTTTAGAGGATAAAGATAGGAAATGTTCAAGATGGAGACAGGTCTGTGGTCTAGGTCTGTATTATGGTGTGGAATGTGTGCACCAACTTTGGAGCAATGGTTTGCTTCGGATCATCGACACATTGTCCAAGTGAAGATCGGCTTAAGGTCAGAAAGTGATTGCTAGACACACTTCATGATTTTCTGGTGGAGTGCAGCATTTATAGTTCAATCAGTTCCAGGAAATTGTTCAGAGCCTGAAGCAGCTCCAGACCTTCACGCTACACAGACAATGTTTGACTGTTGGTTTACTGCTCTTTTCCTAAAATGCTCTTAATGGTTTGCAACAAACCTAAAGAGTTTCATAACTTCTAAAGTTTTTTTTTTTCTAGTCGATCCACAAAACGTTTTTCAAAGTCTTAACTATCATCAAAAGATTTTTGGATAGTTTGTTTTTGCACAGGAGTTACTCTTGTCCAGGAAATTTTTCATAAATGCATTTTTTCTCTCTATCTTTTTCTCTATTTGTTGAGTCGTAAATGCTAACTTTAACAGTGAAAATTGAGGCCTGCACGTGTTTAGATGTTCTGGGTTTTTCCCCTGAGCTTTCCAACAAGGCCGGAAAACTCCAGAGAAGGTTTACCTCTACTCCATGTTTTCCCAATTTCATACAAATGACGGATTCACTGGAGACCCAAAGGCTTGCAAATAGCTCTGAGATGCTTTTCACATCGCTTGTCTATTCTTGTATTTCTAAGTGTCTTTTAGATATTTCTCTATTAATACTGTCCGATAGGTTCTAATTGTGCGACTGCTTTACTCAACAGCTCTCTAAGAAATAAATTAAAACCTAAAATATGTTTGATCGCCTATTCATGATAAAAAATGTAAGAAATTACTTTAAAAATAGAGAAAATTGTTTTATCTTTTAAAAACTTTTGAGTTTTCTTGAGTTATCTTTACATAATATCTACTCCACGATTTTAATTATGGAGATGTGACAAAAGACTGAAAAAAATCCTTAATCATTGTGCAGAAACCAGGGAACATTTTAAACTAGAATCCCATTTGATCTGTTTTTTTCTTCTCTTTAAAACCAGTTGAAATAGGAAAAGAAATACATTCATAAATTCATAACACAAATCAACACCCCAGTCAGCTTTGGTAATGACACCTATTGTTTATATTAAACTGTGATATCAATTACTTCCATTGCACATCACCAGTAAGGTTTGGATCATCTTTCCTTATGTCTACTTCATTTCAGGAATGGATTAGCTCCTTTGTTTCCAAAACACGCCCACAATGAGCTGCTTCTCTCCAAACGTTAGGGGCCCTGGTTAGGCCATTACAGGATGGCAGTGATAATGCTGTTAAATGGCTGTATATTAGTCATTCTGAGTAATTACCTCTCACACTGAGAAAACAATATCACACTCAATGGTTCTGCATGACAACACAAATATAGCACACCATGTGTCTTAGTGTGCGATTATGGGCTTAATGTAATATTCAGTCATAAACTTGTTGATTAGCTTAAACCTAAAATGAGAAATAGTGTGAACTATTGATGGCTCATTGTTATCACTTCATCTGGGTATGAATTGTCTCAATTTGACTGCTCATGAGTCAATATAAGCTATAATTTATTAACCTGCGTATTTGATGTCTGCAGAAAACAGCAAACATAGAGCTTTTTTCAGAATGGAAACAAACTGAGAAGCTATGAAGAGCAAAGCAGCATTGAGAACACAAGTTACACTTTTTATACAACCTTATGTTATCTCATTATCTACAGGCTGAATATCTTTTACCAGACATTTTCTTTATGCCTTAATTATTATTTAATTACTATATGCCATTGTCGTTTTTTTAATCACTGTGGAGAGATTTGATTGAACAGTCAAATTTCACGAAATAAATTCCATATTGTAATGAAAAAAAATTGAAGCAATAGCAGAAATGAAGCTTTCAATCTTTTTGTTACGTGGCTTTTTTTTCTTTGATGCAGATCACTGAATGAAAAATATGTGTTTTGTAACTTCAATCTAAAGCAGAAATAATAAATATTTTATAGGAAGCTTAATAATGCAGTAAATTTTATGTAATAAGGCATTACAAGGAAGAAGTGGAAAATGTCTAACTCTCTGCAAAAATGTGCAAATAGACACCATCATTTAAACATTTCAATAGAATTAAACTTTTTCCAGTAAAAATAATGAATAAAATCAGAAAGGCAGCCAAACTGCTGATGAAATAATATGAAATAATTCTGTGTTTATCTGTGTAAGAAATTTTATTCTAATCTTTTTCATTTTTGGGGCTGAGATGTTCAATTTTAGATAGTCAAAACAGTTTTTAAATTATACATTATACAATTTTGGAGGACTGCAAAAGAAAACAGGTTGATTGCAACAATGTTCTAATCTAATAAATAGAAATACAAATCTAACTTTGGACCAAACAGGATATTTATCAGTTTTTTTGTTTCATTGTGGTGCCGATACGTGTTTTCTGGCATGCAAATCAAAATGATCTGCATGTAAGCATGTAAGGAATCAGCTGCCAGAATCTCCTTCCAAAAACATTAGAGTCTGTCTTAAAATTAGCTGCAGCCAAATCCTGTTGGAGCGTGGTGAGGATCCACACATCAAACATTTCACTGCAAACCCATCAATTAAAAAGTCTATATAACAGTAGAAAAAATGTATTTTTGCTTGTTTTAACATCCTAAAAAGCTAATTTTTATAATTGAGCAGCCAGAATGAGTTATATTATGAAAGCATAATACAGCATTTAATGAGAGCATTAAACAAAGCTGCAGTCATGAGGCATTTATTGAACTTCTTTTCCTGTTAGAATTACACCACAAATCACACAGGATACAAAGCAAACTTGTGGAGGAAAGTCCTCGAGTCAGAAAAAAAAAAAACTAGATGGGATGAATTTTTCTAAACTAAATTAAATATAATTTTCTAACCCACATACATGTGTGGATGGATGGAGTTTCAAAATCAACCAAAACAATCCCATTTGACTTAAAAAAAAAAGGTTTAGTTTCTAGATGTGCAAAGCTGAAGGACACATAATGCAAACCGGTTAAAACTGTAACTGAAAACAACACTTTAAACTTTTGTTTGTTAAAAAAATGAAGTAAACTAAAGCATATTTTTTAGTGTAACAAAATGGAAGAAAGTTAAATCTAAATAAATAAGTCTAAACTGGTCAGTGAGGTCTTCAACACTTTAATTATCTTCATGGTAAAGATGATTTTTTGAGCATGAAGTAAAGTTTGTTTTACAGTAAAAAGCCTCTGAAACACACAACCAGAGCTAAAAAAACATGATAAAAACATTTATCAAACAAACAATGTTTCCAGCATGGTTGAATTTAGAACCTTGATGTGTTTTCTCCTATAATCTTACACATCAATCCCTAAACCATTCCCTTTGATTAACCAATATAAGCCACACATGTTAATATGGCTGATTGATGAAATAACATTTTCCTTCGGGTGTTCAGTGTGTGTGTGTTACCTTGCTAAAGGCCAGGCAGTCTTTATCCTGGTCTTTGTCTTTGACCTCAAAGTCGTACAAAGCTTTACCCTGGGGTGGAGTTTGACTCAGGGGACGCAGCAGCTGGATGTAACTAGCCGGCAAGAAGCCATGGCAACCGTTGAGCTCCCCGTGGTACCAGTTGTCATCCACCTTGCGCCGCAGGATGATAATATCACCCTTGGAAAACTGTAAGTCACCTGGTTCCTTGCCCTCGTACGAGTAGAGTGCTTTACCACAAGGCAGTGCTGGAATGTTCTGTAAAACACACATAGAGAAATAGATGTACATGTGGATGAAATACATTATGGTTTCTTTAATTCTACTGGAATCAGCAAGTGTTCCTCTTGTGTGCATATGTGTTTATAAATATCAGCAGCAGCAGGTATTTTTGAGAACAGAAGAAAACATGTCACTGCAAATCCATTTCAGTATTTTTAGCTCCTTTTTACCACAAAGTGGGAATCATTGACATTAAGAGACCTTTTAGAGTCACTTTGATATAAAATGAATGACTGTAGAGAGATTATAGATTTAATCTGCGCTGAAGACGGTGTCTGAACAGAAAAAGTTTAAGCCTAAAGATAAACCTCATGAAGCAGCAAAGAAAAGGGAAGATCAGGAGGACGGAAACAACAAACAGGAGAGAGAAAAGCAGTATTTGTGTGAACCCCTTGGGGCGGTAGACGAGCAAAATATGTTTAGGTAAAATCCACAGTAAACTAAACGGTTCCTGAAACAGAATCTAAACTCTAAAGTCCTCATTGTGATTGTTTGTGTTTGCACATGCACAATGAGCAGTGGTTCCATGCACAAATCTGCCCCAAACTGGCAGATTTGTGCATGCAGGATTCCAAGATTGCTGGTTTCATTGCCCCTTAATGTACACTCAGAAATATTCGACACAAACTTTAAGATTTATGTAAAGTTATTATATAACAAATTCCCATTTAGTTTCTTTACATAATTTAAACTAAAAACTAATAAATAAAACTTACATGATTCATTAGGCTCCAGCAGTCTATGGGTGACCATAGGCAGTGAACACCCTGGACACGTTGCCAGTCTGCTGCAGGGCTTATTTATTTAAAATAATAAAGCATACCTACTCAAAATAAACACTAATGAGTGTATTTATTTTACATAAATACAGTTGTTTAAATTTCACGTATGTAACCTGATTATTACAAAATCTAAACAAATAAACTTTATGTATTGGAAATAAATACACTAATTAGTATTCATTTTGAGTAAGTGTACTTTATTAATCCTAAATATATAATATTTATGTATTTTAAATAAATAATCTATTTTAAATTAATGAACATGCGTCATGTAAGGTTTGTTCAATATATTTTAATTAAAATAATCTAAAAAAGTAAATGAGAATTTGTTACGTAAGAAAGTTACATAAAGTGAATCTTAAAATCTGGATAAAATATTCTTGTGAGTGTAGACAGGACCCTGTGTCTCACCAAGAAATATTTTGGATAGACCCAAACCTGGCTTCTTGTGAACAGGGGCCTTAATGAGGTGAGTGTTTCTGTCACATTGTTGGGACAGGATTAGATACCCATCACTATGAATTAATAACCAACACAACAGGATGTATTACTGCCCTTTCTGAAGATTTGTTTTTTTACTTCCTACATTTTATAAGTAAATCAGCTCATCTAATTTATATGCAAGTACAGTAATAGACACAAAGCAAGTACACTCAATGGTAAGGTTTTACCTTATAAAACATTGACTCTTTGTTTTCGTAAAAATTCAAAAAATATCCACTGGACTTGGTTTTCAAGATTTGAAGACGTTTCGCCACCTCTTCAGGAAGCTTTGCAGTGGATATTTTTTGAATTTTTACAGAATGACTATGACCTGGATGACTGAGAAACTTCATCAGCACATTGACTCTTTACCAGATTGTTAAATTATTTAAGCAACTATAAGTAGACCAAAGATTTACCATGACATATTTCATTAAACAAAGTTGGAGCCAAACTAAATATTAGGAAAATTGTACAATATAATTGTAAAATACATATAATAAATGACATGATAAAAAATTACATTGATGCAACTGTTAGAATTATTGTATTTCAGGTAAAATTTTCCCAAGAAAAACATGATTGATTAAAAATTAGACTTTTTAAATATTCTTCCTTTGTAGTTTGACCACAGTGTTCAACTTGCAAAGGGATCTTTTTTTTTTTTTTTTTTTTTACTGTTTCTGTCTATCATAGTTATTAATTAAAAGCCCCAGGTGACAGGTGTGCCTTTGACATAAAAGTGTTGCTTAAAGCGGTGCTGAGCTTATTTTGAGAGCTTTGCAGATAATTAAAAGCTTTGATGTCTGTCATTAGTGTCACTGTGTTGACATCATGAGTGGTAACTACCTCTCACAAGGCTCAGTCTTTAAACTTCAGGCTGCAAAGTGGTTTATTAGATATGAGGTACTGGTTATTTGTGCTTAGAAAAGCACTGAAAACAATGAAAGAACTTAGCATTTGTTGCTCCCTTTTTAATACAAAAGGAGCAGATTAGATTTAGATTTTGACAAACTTTATTGTCAATTTGTACACACAGAGTGTATACAAAACAAAGTTTCGTTTAGTACAGCTCTCATGACATTTCCATTTCCTAAAGTGCAGCAGTGATCAAATGTAAACATTGGGTGAAAAAAACACATGGTGTAAAAAGAAACGCGTTCATATGGTCAGTTTGATGCAGAGACCGTGACATAATTTAGTTTTTTTTTTCAAAATTCAGCTTTTTTTCCCATTTTTTCCCCCTGAAAAATTAAGATGAAGACCTCCCCGGTGGGCATTGCATCCAAAAAATTATCCACCACCTACAAAAAAAAAAAAAATATATATATATATATATAAAAAAGCCAGGTAGCAAACTGTTTTAGAGGAAACTGAAAAACAGTGGCAGAGGCAATATGTTTTAAAGTGTTGGCTCACGAGACTAATTTGTTGAGGCAGGATAGTTGGATATTCCCCCTCAGCAGCAGGTGAGATATGACTGGTTATTAAAATGTTTGCCAGGTAATTGCTACTTCTACCTTGGGTCAAACATAGTAATTTTGAAAATGCCAAGGCTTGGTGAAGCATGACTCCCTGGAGTTTCATCAAAATGGGGTCTGCTGTGTGTCACCTATCATATGTCCTGGACTGACAGGCACCGCTCCATTTAACCCCACCCCTACAGATACAGTATCTGACCGTAAAAAGAAAAAAACGGTCTGAATGTTGCGGTGAATTTGAGTTGAAATTATGCTTTAAAGTATCATATGAGCACTGATGGAACAGAGAAAATATCCTTTTTCACATCTTCAGCCCATCTGGAAAGAAACTTCACACAAAGCAATTTATTTATCTATTTTAAAGAGAGAGAGAGAGAAAAAAAGATCCTGTTTTATCAAACCGGCAACAGCATTTTAAAACCCGTAATCATCAGGTTTATGTATTTAGAATTAATAATAGTTTATTGTTTGAATTGTATAAAGATGATTATTATGCAACTCAAACAAATAAAATTGATCTATTTGAAATAAATACACTAATTCGTATTGATTTTGAGTTAGTGTACTTAATTCAATCTAAATCCTTTAACCTGACAGTTATATATTCTAGATAAATAAGCTAAGTTGAATAATAAATATAAGGTTTATACAATACGCTTTTGTACAGTCATCTAAAAAAGTATGGGAATTAATTATGTAGCCAAATTATATAATCCTCAAATTTGGGTGAAACATTGTGAGTATAAATGATTGTCTGTTCTGGGTGCCTCTGTGAATTTAGAAATTAATGGAAAAAAAATAAGTTTTGAGAATTAAATTTGAAGCTACAGATGCAGAATTGCAAGAGAGTACTTTAATATTATGTGAAACTTTATAAATTTCAGAATAATAATTTGATTTATCACTGGATAAAAGAAGAATTCCACCTATATTAGCACATCTAAAATCAGCAAAGGAGAAAATATATTTCTAACTATGTGTTGTTTTTAGTTACACATCTGTCAGATACCGGCCTTCCCTGAGATTGGCAGTATTTATGTCTGCATCTGATCTTGAGGATCAAACAGCAGATTTTCCCCACCGATAGTGAGATCTAGCTCTGTTGAGGCTAGAATACGGCAGCAGCAGCCGTCACACAAATGTTGTTTGCTTCCTGGCTGATGGAAAATAACTGGTAAGCATTAGAAACGGGCAGCTAAGGATGTAAGCCTGCTTCGGTGTACATCTGAGCACAATCATGGCATCCTTGCAGGGAAAAAAACGGATTGAGTTTGAGTGACAATCCTGCATCATTGTATCCGTTGGACGTATGTGACAAACAAAGGAGGGGAATCATGACAAAAGCAATAAATCATTGAGAAACAAAGCAATGTTTGGGTTCACCAGTTATTTAGGATGCTGCATCAAGAAATGTAGACACACATACTTTCTATATATGATTCTTCATAACAGAAGCATTTTTTTATTCCACAGCTGAGATAAAGGCTATTATCTCTACAGAAACAGCAACATGCTGAATCCCATCACAATATACCTCACTAAGCACAAACATCCTGAATAAAAGGACAAGGCTCAGCACAGACGTTACACCTGACCTGTTCTTATAGAAAGATGGTTTATCTTAAATAAGATCCAGGTTAAAAAAAAACAGCAGAGTTAAACAAAACGAAAAACAATTTATCTTCTTGCAGAGAGGGAGAACACAACACAAACACCCCCCCTCTGCATCCTCCTTTTATAAACATATAGGTTAGAACTCTCCTGATGCTGCACTGAAGAGAACAGCCTGAGGTTTCAATTTCTGAATGAGATCAGCGTTGACGCAACGAGAAGAAACTGAGTCACAAACATTGAAAAAAAAACACGGTATTATATTGCTTTTGATGTTCCCACAACTAACTGTAATGTGTGTGTCACATGGGACCTGCAGACTGCATCAAATCTGCACATTTCTGTTATTCACTTAAGGACATATCCTTCTCCGTATTCCTCCCCCCCTGCTTCAAATTCCATCCTTTGGATTTCTGGCTGTCAAAAACATCGGAGTGTCTGGAGCCATTCTTGGCTGATAAGCTTTGTAGCTTCAATGCCAACCCGTCCCACAAGTTCACACTGGATTAATGTAAGGGCCCTATAGAAACACTTCAAGTTTCTTTTTGAAAAAAGGGACATTTCTGTAGTAGACATCTTTTTGTGCACGTCTGCTTTCATGTTGTGACAAGAAAGAGCT